CAGAACCCAGTTGACTTTAGTGATTATGCCCCAGACATATGAAAACAGCAACACACACGCGAGCACCAACCCACGAGTGGATCCAAGAGCAACTAACCTGGGGGGTCGGGATCTCAGTTTGAGCAGCCTCGTGTTCTGTTGGAAGGTGGCACCGAGGTTCTCGCTGTCTAGGTACGGTGGTGGTATGCTGCCTGTGATAGCCGACGCGTTGACATCAAACGGGGTTCCCAAGTTCACATCTGTAGGTGACACCTCAGTGAAGTTAGACAGGACCAAGGAGTGTGGACACACAATAATCGAAGTGTCCTGATATGATGATGATGATGATGATGATGATGATGATGATGATGAGATAAACCCAAATGTTTATTTTCACTTCAAGCAGGCAAGCAATTGTACAAAAGAGGGAGACAAGGACAAAGCTCTTCAGTAATGGTGGAACGTGTTATCTCGACCAGATAAATTTCCTGCTGAACTCAGAATGGCTTTTCTGCAGTTTTACGATGTCGAGACAGCGAAATGTATCAGTTCATTACCCATGAATGCATGTTGCTGTAATATTTCCTAAATTATGCGGCTCTTTGTGCATTTCAAGTAGAAACGCACTCCCCTCTTGCCAAAAACGCGCGTGGGAGAGCTAAGTTGTGGACAAGGTTAAACCGAAGAGACCACGCAAACTATGAATTGACCACTTTACCACCCTCAAGCACGAAGGCTGCGGACAAAAAACTATTGCTGCGTCAGTACACTCCTGATAGTAGATAGAGGGTATTAACGATAGAGTTGCACTCCAACATGGTGGCAGAAAGACAGCTTGTCCTACGGCACCAACCTAAGAGACTCAGATTCCGGACGAAATTTCACCACGTACAAGATGAATTTATGAACAGCTGTGAAGCATTGCCAGCTCTTGGGCAGGTCAAATACCTCCTGGCAGGATTTTTGACAATTGCGACAAGTTTGTAGACCGGTGTGCCTATAAATCAGTTGAAACAGGAGGCTTCCAGAGTTACACTTTAAGCAAATGACAATCGGGCCTTAATTCCATATTTGATGATCCCAAAAGAGATGAATTTGCAACTGCTTGCAGTGAAGTATTTATCATAACACCCTGCAAGTAGTGGTTGGGTTGATGGCAGATGTGCTCGTGAAGCAAGAAGTCCCATTGGTGTTGGTGATTCAGAAGACTTTGCACCTGATTGATCAAACTGGGAACGACACTAATTTGAAGCAGAACCTGAAACCATCCAAGTACTTGTAATTCTTGACAAAGGAAATGCGTGGGAATCGTGGATAACCAACAGACATGATTAAAAACACTTCCGGTCAAGCACTACGTGTCTGATATCAGCGAGACAGAAACCAAACAGAGGTCGAGTTGTTTTACATTTAACCACGGACTTCCGGAAACGCGTGTCAGCATCGTTTTAATGAAAACCACAAAGGTATTACCAGACGCGTACAAGAAAATGTGCGGATAGCTAATGAAGTAGTTTAAGAATTACCGTGGCAGCCTTGGTCAAAATGTCCGTGTGGACAAAAACTCCAATCTAAAGTCGCAATAGACTGTAGGCAGATTGAACTGACGGGCCACAAACTCATGGACTTATCGATTGTGGTGAAATCGAATGATGCTCACAAAGAACCTCGAAGTCAGAAGAGAAAGACGTGTTTGATAGTCGGGCGATGGAGAATGGTCGCAACATCCCAATCTCCTACAAGTCTCCTCTGACAACAGCATCAACAACGACGATCCCAGACGAGGCAACGTCCTACCAACACTGCACCTGCTCTGATTTTTGAAGGCAGCCAGGCGTAAAACGGTAGTAAGCGTGAGAGGAGGTGGAATTCGAAGATAAAAA